AAATTTACCAGCATTACAACCTGTTCATTGCTTTTCAAACTTTAGTTATCATTGTTTTTTGTTTAATGCAAGTTCTAGGTAATTCAGTGTTATTTATATGTGGTAGTTGCATAAACAATGAATAACATGGATAGAAAAAGACGCAAAAGAAGAATTGTAGGTACGTTATGCTTAATGTATGATTATTACAAACATCCACATACATAGTTCATAAGTGGGTTGGGGAGTTGCATGCAGCTATATGTTCCAGATAAGTTTTAGCCCTACATTTTATTTCAGAATGAATCTATGACAGAGTCATTAAGTAATTTTAATACTCATAAAAAATTATTTTTCAATTGGGTTGAATACTCTAATCAGCTTATCATTAGAAATTATCAAACTAAGGACCCCACATTCCAAAGGACTCTCATAGAGATTTCACAGGACCAACGTTATATGTCATATTTTAAGGTAAATGCATGTGTTCATATTTTTCTGAATTTATTTGAACACATTAATTCAAATACCTTTGTTAAATGTTTTGGGATTGTATTGGAGTAATTGATGGAACACATGTGATTGCACGCATATCGAATAGTGAAAACATTACATGCATAGGACGATGTGGTCATGTGATTCACCCATACTGAATGTCACGGTTGTATGTGACATTAAAATATGCTTCACTTTTGTTATGTCATATGGAAAGGTACTGCACACGACAGTCGTGTATTCAAATTTGTCACGAGAACATAGAAATATAACTTTCTGAAACCATCCCCAGATTTGCTTGAATATGAATAAATGAAATGGTACTTTTAGTGCAATACTAATGATTATAATTATTTCTGAGAATATTATTTGGTTTGTGTTACATATCTTTTACAAAAAAAAGTTTCTCAAACTATTTCATGATACCAAACACTATGTTCTTGATTTCGAAAGAGTTAGCAATGTTGTCCGGGGTAAGAAAGAGATATTTAACAAGAGCAACTAATCCTTACGTGGCATTGTTGAAATAACATTTGAAGTTTGAAAGAAAAATGAGTTATTCTGCGATATATGCCAACATATCTATTCAACAAACAAGTGCAGATTGTGGTTACTATAACGGCTCTCCGTAACTACATTTGATGAAATCTTTCACGTAATAACATTGACTTTAATAGAGCAGATGAAGATCATTCACATATCCCTGTAGAAGCATGCGAATATTACCTAGGGCCATCAATAACAAAAGCTGAAAGTGATTTGTTTAAGTCTTTTACTTAGGATGAGGAAGGTGTAAGAGAGATGATAGAGTTGAGAGAGCGAATTATAGATATCATAGGCAGCGAGTGAAAGGATGTTTGATGTTTCTTTTTTATTACTTTATGTGCAATGTATTATGAAAACGCTTAATGTTTATTGTGATGATGGGTTATGCAATGATGTAAATATTGAATCTCAATTTGGTTGAACTTCTATTTTTAGTTTTTTTGCATTTATTTTTTTTCCACAAGGAGGGCCTCTGATGGAACCGTAGGTATAATATTAAATGTAATTATTTTTTGCAATTTTTATTTTAGTTTGGAGGTCTATGATGAGATATTTGGCCTTATAGGTTCTTTTGGATTGCATATATGTTGCTATGTGTTCTTGACAAGAATGAAATTATTATCAAGACAACCAGTACCCCTTCTTTTCAGTTGTATGACTGTTGTGGTTCTTCTGGATGGTCTTTGTGATGAGATGATATGCATCTGTGACACATACAAACTCAGTATTATGTGGTTTAAAGGCAGCCAAGAACATTTTTTTTAAAGGACTACTGTCTTCCTATAATGACAGATTATTCGTTGGTTTATATTATGTACTTAAAAACCTCACAACTAGTATTTCTATAATTAATCATTCCTAATATTGCATCTAAGGGTCTGTGTTCTGTATTTTTAAACATTCAGAAAACATAAGCTCAAGGATTTCGGTACCTTCAGAATATTTACTGCTACTGGGGACTACAGCATTCTCTGTTACATCACGACAGGTACATAGCTATGAGAGAATAGATGTCCAAGGAATATATCATAAATTGTAATTTCTTTAGGTGGGCGGATCGGTTCGATGATTCCACCGCTGATAGTGATCAGGCGTAAAGAGTTTCGTTGGAATAAAGATTATCTAGTGACATTAATCGAGTGCATTTTAAAATAATATTATGGTGTGTCTGGAGCAGCAATGCGGTGGCGGTGAGGTGTCGCACCGCAGCTTTTCCTGTTTTACAAAACTGCATTTTAGAAAAGTTGAAGCTGAAAGCTGCGTTTTCCCACGACAACTGGCTACCTGCAGCGACTGCTAGAAAGTTGTGGTCAGCCTTTTTCAAGAAATTTTTTTCGTAACAGCCACTACAGTTATAAGATATATATAGGAAAAAATTTAACCTTGTAACAAAAAGCAATAGTTATAGATTCATATTTTGGTAGTACAAAGGAAACAATCAAAGAGAATAATTTTTCTAGGATATCATATGAAGCTTGAAAGAAAAATCTTTCAAAATAACTCGCAAAGATATAAAAGATAGACTTTGTTTATTGAGTCAAATTTTATGTTAGGATAAGAAGATCATGTCCTACAAATATATTAACCACAGAAGTTTTAGAAGAGTCCAAAATTAGATCATATATGAGAAAAAGACTTGATAGTCAAGTAAGAAGGTGTGAAATGATATTAAAGAAAGAAATGTTCTTAACAGTCAGAGATACATATCGTTATGATTATGGTTATAAGAAAGCAGAAGATGCACAAATGCAATAGTAAACAAAGCAAAAAATTGACCATCTAATAGTTTATATAATAGAGAAGATATTAAATAGAAAATGAGAACAAGTGGCAAATGATCTAAGGACTTCACTCAAGTTTTAAAGCATTAAAAGTTAAGATAATCACATCATAGTTATAGATGAAAACAACAAAGAAAGATGAAAATATTATTTTGAGAATTATTGAGTGAATGTTCTAAAATATAAACAATTTTGAAAGAGCACAATGAATAAAATAACAAGGTTAAGTACAAGAGGATTCAAACAAGTGAAGTGCACCATAAGAGATGCATAAGAAAGTAAGACTTTGCATCCAAATGAAATAGCTATTGAGACATCCAAAATTACGAATGATATTATAGAAGTTTTGTTAATAAATCTTTTCAATATAATTGTAAAGAGCATTCACAAGCATATCACATAATTCTAATGTATTTATATCTCTAACATCAAAACTTCAATATTTATATGCATATCAATAAAATCTTTACTATCACATAAAAAATATCACTATCATTAACATTTTAAAAGTGAACTACCCCTTTTCAAGCAAATATTTAATACACCAAAGTGTTATAAATAAAAATATCAAACTTAAGTGTTAGACATGTACATACATAAGAATGTGTGGTATGTATATAAAGTTTTCTAATTTTAAAGGCTGAGATATCAATTTATTAAAGAAAATCATTTTAATACCTTAGAAAGAAATGAGATATTCAAAATTATGATAAATATAAAGGAGTAAAAATTATAGATTTATAGATTATACAATTAAGTTATATAAGAATAATGACACAATTTTAAAAAAAACTACACTAGCGTACATTATTAACTTGAATTAAGGTTTTAAAGAATTACTATAGAAGCAAACTTTGTGAGACAATAATTCAAAACACTTGAGAGAAAAGAAAAGATTTTCATTTAATTTTACTTGATATTGAGAAGGTGTTAAACTGAGTATCATACAAATTAATTTGATGTGCATTAATGAAAATATATGTATTAAAGTTAATAAGGAAAAATATGATGGTTCATTAACTAATATAAGTAATTATAGAATAATCAATAAGTTTCTACACTAAGATTACATTAAAGATCAACATTAAGTCGGTGTCATTTTAAATTGGTTATGGAGATATTATTAAAGATATTCAAAACAAGATACCTTGGAGTATGTTGTTTACTCATGAAACATTTCCACTTGGTGAGATAGAAGATGAAATAAGTGAAGATTTAGAATAATGGAAAACGAATTTAGAAAAAAAAAGGCTTAACTCTAGTAAAGCAACGATTAGGCATATGAAATGCAATATTAGAAGATGTGATATTAAAAAATAGCAATCATATTACAATAAATAAAAAGATACTTATGTGTGAGATTTAACTATTAGGGTGAGATTTAACTATTTTGGATATATAATATTAAATAATAAAGATATAAAAAAGCAAAGAACCTCTAGGGTTATGATTACTTAACTAAAATGGGAGGGTGGCACAATGGTATCATGTGATAAAAGAACACCACAGATACTAAAAGGTATGTTAAAAATTAAATAAATATTTGGTCAACTATATTTTATAAATTTGATTGTTTTGAAAGTCAAGTCATAACTAACCAAGTTGGATGTGGTTGAAATTAGAATGTTAAAATAGATATGTAGTTAGAAAAGATAGATGGAGAAAGTATTATATTAGAGAGAGGGGAGTAATACTTATTGAAGATAAGGTGATTAAAAATAGTCTTGAAGGTTTGGACATGTACAACCATGCAGAGAAAATGCATGAAACTAAAATAAGAAAATGGTCAATATCAGGTTAGGAGAAAGTAAATTGTTAAGTTAGGCTTCCATATAATTTGTTATGAGTCCAAACTGTCATATCCTTCAAATATTTAGCCAAAAAATTTACCAAAAATAGAATGCACATGTCATGACAATTCGATGCCTTATGATGTATCTAGGAGCATATTGTGTACAAACAAAAACAAGAGAATTATGAGAAAAAGAGAAAATGAAATATAAAAGAAAACATTCATTACAGAATTGCAGAAACTTTATGAGCGAAAAAAGAATGAATACAAAGGAAGATATCTAAATTTAGTTTAAGAATTTAATTAAAATCCACGGAAGGAGCAAGGAAACATATTGCTCTATCAAGTTCAAAGCAATAGAGCATGAAAAAAAGGTGCAAGTTTTGCTCCAGTTCATTAGAGCATACCTGTATGAATTTGTGACATCCACGTCATCATCAGCAAAGGGGGTGGAAAAGCCAGAATCATCAAATTCGTCCATCAAAGATAACCTGCTGGAGCTTCTAGATGGTACGTGTGATGGAGTGTTAGACGGAACTTTCAAGATTGGTAGATTTACAGCATGGTCTTTCCCAGAAGGGAAAATCTGCAGCAAAACATGCCAAACCTGAGTAAAACACTCCAGCTACAAACGCAAAAGCAGATATGTACAGTAAACCTAGGGCAGATAGCACAAGTTTAAGACTTCGTAAGTAAAAAATTGGCTTCTTATACTGCCATTTATGAATAAATCACAACCTTTGGCAGCAACACGCCAGTCTGCACCTCCATCAAACTAAATGATTCTTTGTTTAGTTGCAGCATTTTTTCAGGTGAAAAAGTGTGGGGAGTCGATGTTGTGCTTGGTTCAGTGCCAATACTATCTGCCTGAGAAGGGTATCCCTGCCTCTTTCTGTTGGAATAAGGATGAGGCAGTCCATGAATTTGGCCTCCACCACGTCCCCTTTGCCCTGGCCAGGGGATACTTACTGGAGCACTTTCTGAGCGTATAAGAGCTTTGGACAAATGGGATGGAGGTGATGGAGAAGACGAAGGTGAAAATGGTGGTGATGGCCTGTACTCGTCAAAATTTTTGGTATACGCTGCATATGACCCTTTTGGTAAAGAGCATGGCAATGAAGAAGTGTCGAGCAAATGATTAGGATAGGGGAGATGGGGGTTCAAATTACGATCCAGAGCTCGGGAATCTGAGTAAGCAGGCGATGGAGTAAGAGAAAAGGAAGTAGTTTCACCATGATCATTACTCCAACTATGCCTTCTGCTTAATGAAACACATGAAGGCGCAGAACCAGCATAAGGAAGTGACGGGAACCTCTTCAGTGGATCAGCCAGAGGGCTTCCAACATAATCCATAATAAATTGAGTAGACATGGGAGTAGAAGGCTCTGAGCCCACAACTTCAATTTTCTTCAAATAGGTGACAGAAAGGGACAACTTACCAAAGAAAGTGTCAAGCGGCCCAAAACCAAGCTGATTCATCTCAGCATCCTCCTCACGACTAAAAGGATGAACAACAGATAAAATCCTGTGAGAAAGGCTCAGTGGGTGGATCTGACCAGAGGCATTGAGATCTCTGAATAGCTTATAAGTAGGTAATAGCCTGACAGCAGCATACACGGATCTGAGTAGAACTATGATCCTCCTGTAAGCTTTCTTGTACATGACCTGGAATTCAGATGGGTGGGAGGCAGCCCGGCTACCTTTCTTTCTTCCTTGATGAGAAGATTCCCTAGTAAACCAACTGCTACTTTGACTGTCATACTGCACAATCCACCTCTCCACAACCTTTTCGTTTCTATTTTCACGGACAAACTCATCACCACTAGAAGAGAGGTTCCGCACAAGCAACCCAGCTGGAGAAGGAAAACTCACATTCCGAACTGATTTTCTATCCCTCAAGATTACGTCAACAACCACTGGCTCAAGGTTGCTCTGCCGCCATAGGTCAAAATTCTCTAGTGCAGCTGGGCAGTCTCTCAGGGCCAAGTTAAACCATTTATCCCTTGGTCTAAAGCTCGACGAGGATGAGGGCGGAGAAGGGGATGAGATCAAAGGATCAGCACTGTAGTTCCGGGAAGAAACATATGGAGACCTCGATTCGAGAATGATGTGCACGCTTTTGGCAAAAAATTCTGTGATAACTTGCTCGATTATAGCTGTCTCGGATTTGGAGCTAGATGGCGATGCCATAAGAGAAACAAAAGAAGGGAACAAGTTCTCCAAAGCAAAAAAGAAGGAAATTAAGATAATGGGGAAGGGAAACACAGTTTGACTTTAGTTCAGCAGGAGATTTCGCAATCAGCGCACCTCAACCCACGTTATCTGTGAAAATTAGAGGCAAGATGCTTTCTAGTACTCGAAGAATCGGATCAACGATTAAAGGGGGGTTTTTTTTTTCGGTGAACGAACTTTAGGTTCCTAGGGTAGTATGAAGAGTCAAATGACCGTTAGTGAACTCTAGGTTCGAGCAGGCACCGAAAAAAGAGGATTAGATGTTATTAATCGAAAATTTTGGAGTTCGATCATCAAATTCGAGCAAAAAGGAAAAAAAAAAGGTGCTTTCAAAATCCAATCGGCAACAGAAGAAGAAAAGAACATAGAGATCCCTTGAAGGGTAAGTTGTACCTCTGGGCTGCCTGTGTTTTTTGAAAATCAATAGCGTTACAATCTAATGTTTTTTGGTGTAAAATCTTCGTCCAGGGCTTTCCTCCCTCACAACAGATTGATCAACTCTTTTGGAGATTGATCAACTCTTTTGGTGAAGGCCAAGCGCCAGCGGTATTTTCTTAGGTTTATGGTTTACGTATAGAAAAGAGTAAGCCAAGGTTATCTACTAGCACTTTTTTAGCCACTTCAAAGACTCCGGGTTTGTTTGGTACAGCTGTAGTTTATTAATAAACTATTGTGTAATAGCTGTGGCAGGAAGCTGCTATGCTGAAGTTATTGTGGATAAATTTGTTGTCTATTTAGTTTTTGTAGTTCGAAAGCAACCGTGTAACAATTATTTTTGGACAAATGATCATTATGTCTCTATATTGCAATATTGCTTGCAACATAACTGTTCATACTAGCTTATCCCAAACTTGAAAGCAAATAGTCAGTTCCAGCATTACAAAATGAAAATAGACACCTCACTTAACAGTAAGTTGCATGACTATCAAAATTAAGAAAATTGCTACTAAAATAAGAATTAATAATATGATAATATTATTTTTAAAATGCAACTGGTTTAGTTCACGAGACAAGTCGTCCTGCAAGGAAACTCTTCACGTCATATCAGTATTAGTTGTGGATTCCTCCAACCTATCTATCTACTTAAAGAAGTCACAATTTTCTTGTCTTCTCCTTGAACACATGTAAAACTATGTTGTCGCGAAGTAAGCATATATCATGGTAGTCTGTAGTAGTAGTGCAATCCCATAGAAATACCGTAAGTCCTTAAACTCATTTTTTTTTAAGGTTTAACACAACAAAGCACAAATTCTTAGATGCAATATTATCGAAAAAAATATAATTTTACAATGCAAGTTTTACTAAACACTGAGGTCTCAAAGAACATAGCATAAACCAACCAATCTATCTTTACCAAAAGAAAGTAGGTCTTAAGGAAAGGGGCTCTTGGTTGCCTTCAAAACACGAATGTGTCTCATATGCATATCACCAAAAAATAAGCCATCCAAAAGAGCCTCAAAAAACCAGTACATTGAAAAAATGAGAGGATCTTGGTTGTTTTCATTAGGATTTCACTTGTGGCAAGAACCAGTAGGGAAAAATAGGCCATCTAGAAGAACCCATAAGGTCGAATGTCTCGCCACTGACTTAAAACAAAAGAAAGTAATAAACATGCAATAAATATTTATATACCATGTTATTTCTACGATTGCCTCTTCATCCATCCAAATGGGGAATAATACATGCAAAGCCGTGAGAAATAAAACTGAGATTCAAAATTTAAATGATTTGATAGAACATTGATACAACAAACAATAATTATTTTCACTATCCATCGTAAATAAAGTAGCAATAAAAAAAAAAAAATACAATTTGTTCATTTAGCATCCAACATGGTGTCTGTAATCCTCCCTCTCAATTCAATTATTTCCCCATCACCTTCTTCTTCTTGGGCGCAACCCTCATGTGATTCTACTTCTGCATATGATATAGAATGTCCTATGTGATATTCGATTTTTTTAGACGGGACATATAAATAATCATCATCAGCCTTACTGAAGTCAATGCCACTACGCGAATGATACCGTTGAATATAGTTGTGGAGAGCCATTATGACACCACAAGTTGCAATATGACCCGCTTTTTCTTTCACTCCAAATGTTCTTTCAACTGCATCATGTATGGACGAGTGTCATTTGTTAAATATTTCTTTCTTGACCCGATCAATATTACTGGATCTTTCAAAGTTGGTAATGTGATATTTGGTATCTAGAAAAGACTTCAGATACTCCCTTTGTAAGGGATATCCAACATAGACCAAATAATATTTTTCTGTCACAAATACAATAATTAGTAATTGACTAAAAAAATATCTAAATTGGATTAATGGTAAAAAAATCTAGTGGTGGATGAGGGAAGTTGTGCTTTCTATTTATTGTGGCAAATGTAAATATCTGACTGTCTTGTTCACTGCCTTTTAAACCTGCCATAATAAAAGTAAAACACATGTTGAAAACACATGCAGTCATTATATTTTATGTTGGTGATTCACATTAACCAATGAATGCAACATTTTCATTACTAAATACATATGCATCCACGTGTGTTCCATCGATCGCTTCAAGATAATTCTAACAAACTAAAGAAGATTGTATATTTTACACTACTCATTTTGACTTATGAATATAATGAGTAAAATGAATTACCTTAAAAATGACATATACCCCGGGTCATTGATGTGCCCCTAGTGTGTGTTGTTTTTCTGAGTGTTTTATCTCAATTCAATTCCCCTGTGACAGTGCCAAAAACTTGACCTGACCCGTAATGCCGCAGTAATTTAGCTTTTGAAGGACAGCCAAAAACTTGACCTAATTTATATTTAGCAGCTAGTATACAAAATTGAAATATTATAAAATATATCAAATAGTCACACACTATGGGTTCTACGCAAGTGCACGTATCGCTTCAAGACTTTCTAATTAAGCCCCGAATATCGATCCCACGAGGAAGTGAGGAAAGATATCCTTAGTTAAATTCTAGTCTAATACTATTAGTTCTTAGTTTGGAATGTCAATTAAAATGGTGTTTTATCTAACAACTACTCCTAAATGTGAATGTTAAATGTAAGGATAGTAACTATTCCTAAATATAAATATTAATTCTAAAGATAAACCTTTCTGGGTGAGTTGACTTGGAGAATTTTAAGATGTTAAAAACTACTCTTCTTATGTAGCGAATTGGATAATATAAAATAATGAGATACATTAAATATTGTATGTGCCAAATAGAATCAATTTTCAATTTTAATTCTCTACCCTGATCTAAACTGCTCTATGAGATGTTAGTAGGTGCTTGTCCACCCCACTAGGATATTATCTGTACTATTAAGCGCATACATGTGTTGGCGTCAATTTTTGATGTCACGAGTGTAGGGTGTCCACCCGAATAACCTTAGCCGGGATAGCTTATGGCCTGTTCTCAACCATACGGTAGTTTAGACACTCACCCAGGACCTTTCGGCACATGTTGAGGGGCACGTAGTCAGGGTCATTCTGCTAGGCTATGGCTTTCGTATAGGTGAATGTCGGTCGACATTTGGCACGTCGGATGACTTTGGTCGGGCCAACGAATATTATGTGATGCATCGCGCGTGACTTTGGCTCGAATTGGCCCGATCACTTTAGTAAGTTGTTCAGATGACCCTGGACGATGAAACGGACCACGCGAGTGAGTTCGGAACGTCGATTTCACTTGGGGAGGATGTTCATTATGCCATGATTTTTCCGGCGAGATAAAAATACATAAGTTATCGTTTTGGGCACGATAATAAAAAAAGTGGTCTGGATGACACCAAATGACGAAACGGACTGCGCCAATGCGTCTGAAACATCGATTTTAGCTAAGAAGAATAGTCACTTCACCGCGAGGATGTGTACAGGTGAAGAATACGCGACTAATAATTATAATAATATAATAATAATTATTATTATTATTATTATTATATAATATATAATATCTTATATATAAAAAAAAGAAAAAAGCTTACGCCTCCTCTCAAAAACCTAGCGAAAGAACCAGCCACCATCTCCCGTTCGTGAACCCCTAGCCCGAGCTCACCTCTTGCGTTGTTGTCGCCCTCTCGCTGTCAGAGTTCCCTCCTGCCGGCAACCAACGTCGCTACCTCCAACCGACATCGCCACCTCCAGTGCCTGCTGCCTTGAGCCCCCTCCAGGTCTCGCAAAAAAACTATCAGAAACCCCTCCTTGTCGTCAGTCTCATCGCCAGCCTCGCCGCTGGCCCTATTAGTTGGTAAGCTTCCTCCTCCAACTCCGACATCCCGATCTCACCGACTCCAGCACTCTCTCTCACGCAGAGCCCCAAAAAAGCCTCCTTTAGCCGCACCACCTCCGGTCTTGCGCTACTCGCCGGTGTCCTCCTCGTCACCGGTGAGACCTCCTCCTACAGCAGCATCCATTCCTTGCAAGCAAAAAAGAGGGCTGAGCTTAAGCCTTTCCCCTTTTCATTTTCTTGTGTGCCGCCAACAAGCTACAATCCCCCACATTGCTGTCCTACCTTCCTGACAACCGGACACTTCGTTGGAGCACTTCGACGTCATCGGACAGTGAGCATTTTTGCTATTCGAGGAGGTGCAAGCGTCTTTTCCTTTGCAAGGAAAAATTCCCCTATTTCACCACCGTCGAGTGACCCTTCTCGAAGGTATATTTTGGTTATATTTTTATATGCTGAAATAATTATTTTTTTAGTGCCTCGCATACCTCACAATCTCCTATCTTTTTATCGTTCTGTGCACGTTCTACAAGGCACACTAGAGCATAGATCGGACGTCAGCGAGCTTGGAGCAAGCAAAGAAAACGCGTCTGCAACTGTCACAGTGGTAAGATTTCCTACCTCATAGCTAGCCTTAGAAATAATAGAGTCTAGGCGTGTGGGTTTGATCGCCCACATGAGGTGCGTGCGCCTGCGCGGGTCGGCGCAACGACATGTCTGCGTGATGGATCATTGGATTTCCTAGAGTTAGCCTTTAGGTAAGGGTTTCCCATGCGTAGCCAACACCCTCCGTAGAGCCGAGTGTATCCCCTTTGTTGTGAGTCTTAGCACAAGTCATGATGGGTCAGAGTCCCTCACTCCCCTTGCTTTGGGTTTCCCAGTACTTGGAGAAGCTGGGAGGTCGAACTTGGCAAAACGAGATAAGCTTTATAGTTGGCTCGCTTTGCAAAGTCTGGAGGAGTTCGCAAAATGGGAAAAGCTTTGTAGCTAGTCCATTTCGCGATGTCGTGGAGAGTTTCCCCATTGGAGATCCAAGGATAAACTCCTCACACTTCCTCACCAAAGTAAGAGGTGGTGGTGTCGCACATCTAAGGGTCTAAACCTTAGGTCTCCCAGGTGAGGTCGTTAGCACGAGCCCGATTTGTTAACTGCATATTGGTCTGTTGCATATTGCATTTTTTCTTGGTGCATGTTGCATTTCACTTCGCTCCCATCGGCCGCCCCGACTAGGTGATCATTTCACTTTGCTCTGATCAGCCGCCCAGGCCTGGTGAGCATCTTACTTCGCTCCAACTGTCCAACCCGGCCCGGCGAGCATTTC